TATATATATATATATATATAAAGCAATATTTATATATATATATATATATATATATATATATATATGTATATAAATATTGCTTTAATGTGTGTAAATGAATTTCCTTTTGATCGATAAGGTGGAATCCTGTAAATAAGATGTAAGAAGTCTGTAGAAATTAGAAATTATTACCTATTATACTATATAGTATAATATGGTCATTAAGATACTAAAAATTTTAATGATTGAATAATTAAACCTAATTTTTGTTAACAAAATAAAAGTGTATTTTAAACCTGCATTAACATAAATTTTACCATTGTTTCGATCAGTATGGATATGACTTTCTAGAATTGTAAATATGTTGATAAACTATCATAGCCATCGACTCAAATACAGCTTTCCAAAGAAAGAAATAAAACTATTGATTTGTAATAAAAAATGTATTGAAATTATAAAACATATCAATATACATTTATTTACAATTTACAACCTATTTCCATGATGATTTCAAAAGATGAGAAATATATTTATGCAAATAAAGCAAATAACATTCATATTTAATCATGCATATATGATTCACATATTTAAATCATTTGACATTAGATATAAAGAATGCACATGTAAACAGCGTGTTATGATACAGGCAAAGCAATATAATTCTTTACAATTTGAAACACATTTCCATAACATAAGTAAAATTAGTTACTAAATAATGGCTTAATTAAATATATTTATGCAAATAAAGCAAACATCAATCCTATTTAATTATGAAGATAATTAAATTATTTATAACATTAGAATTATAAGAAAGAATGCACACATAAATAGTGAGTTATGATACAGCCAAAGCCATTTAGGTGAATAAAAATCGAAATCATTACATGTTATGTCACACAAGAAAATCTCAGAATATTACTCCATTTTAGTCAGAATCATGATATAGTTGAAATTTAATTAGAATATTTATTATTAGTAAAATAAATATTGAATATAGTGATGCCAAAGTAGAATATTCATTTTCCCAACACAATGTTTAAGAATAATAATCTATTTTACTATCAAATATAATTATTTGTTCTTTCATTGTTGGGATCTCTCAGTCTATTCTCACCTTAATTGAAAATTCAAACCACTCAAAATCAAAGCTAAATAAAATATGACACTTCAAAGATTTTTTTATATATGAAGTCCATAGTAGTTGATGAAGCTTAATACTTTATTAATATCTGTCAATGTGTTTCAATTCTTATATCCAACAATATTTCCCATTATGATTACAATTGCAACAAGATAAAACGAAGTACAATATTTAATACACATCTATTTTCCATTTTTCATTTCATTTTCAAATATTTTGAATTTCTTCAGTTTGGAGTATCCAACAGCTACCACTTTCAAAATTTGATTTTTAAGTTTCTATGTCCATCAATTTTTCCCATTATGATTACAATTGCATCAAGGTTACACAAAGTACAATATTTAATACACATGTATTTTCCTCTTTTCATTTCATTTTCAAATATTTTGTATTTCTCAGTTTGGAGTATCCAACAGATACTACTTTCAAAACAATAATTTCAATGTTTTATTTATATTTGTAATATACTGATTGTAGTGATATACTCTCACAATTTTTTTGATATATTTTGTTTTGTCTGCAATCTTGCAAACAAGCAACCTCCGCTGTTTTTTGATATTATATATCAAAGCTCTATATGATTTAAGGTTAATTTAATTTAACTTAATTTATTCTTTCTTGCACTCCAATGCTTCAAAAAATAGTCTATAAATCCAGCTACGACAAGATTGAGGCAATGTACATTCATTTTTTCGATGTGTTGTTTTTCTACATTCAATATTGGCATCACAAATTCAAAATTTTGAAGATTTGTAGTGAAAATTAAATAAGGGAAAAGAGGTATGTCATGATTAGTCGATATTAAATGGATTAATAATGAAAATATAATAAACACATGAAGTCTATTAGTAAACTAAACCATAAATAAGCATAGTAGCAAAGCTTTAGAAACATAAGAGTAATAACAATTGTAGGTTTTAAAATAAGGCAATAAGACTTGGTGTTAATGCATATGCAATATTATAAAGTAATGAGACCAAATATAAAAATGTCAAAATATTATTATATAAATCAATTTAAATTTGTACAATTAGATAAAAATGATAAATAAATAAATAAATAAATAAATTAGATAAATTAATATATATATATATATACAGATATAGATATAGAGATATAAAAATATAATTAAATTTAAATTAAAATAATGAGCAACAGAATGCAATTTGTAACAAGGAAAAAATAGCACAACCAATACCAAGTGAATAACAAGAAGAATGATGCATTGAAAGATTGAAATAACCAAGAAGGAATACCATTGCCAGTAATAGATATATAACGTTGTTTAAAACGGAATTGTCTGCTAAATATAGTATGACAATGATGAATGAAAGTTATTACGTCATACATGAAGGACACACCACAGCACACAAAACAAAAGATGAATGCACCATCCTGTATTTTAATTGCCATCGGACTTACACACATCAAACAAAAGAAAAAATTCCAAGGGGTACCAAAAAAATTGGACATGCTTGCCCCTCACGAATCATATGCAAGATATATAATGACGGACATGTTAAAGCTGATTACTGGAAGACATGTGGGACATGAAATTTTGACAAAATATGTGCATCAAGTAATAGCTGGCAAGGATGATGACTTCATTATAAACAACATACGTGAAGCTTGTTATAATGAAGAATTACCACTGAGAGCTTCCATGATTACAAAGAAAGATATTTGGAATATGAAACAGAAAGTTTTACCACCATACGAAACATTTAGAAATAAGAATGATTCAACAAGTGTAACTACTTGGGTTAAGGAGAACCAACAAAAGAAAACCTTTAAAGTGTTATTTTATAAAGGAATTAATACAACTAATTATGGACTCGGCAATGATGACTTTATTCTTGTCATTATGACAAACATGCAGGCGCAAACGTTATTGGAATTTGGTACAGACAAGATATGCGTTGACGGGACGCATGGGACTAACGGTTATGGTTTCCAATTGCATACGCTTTTGGTGATTGATGAATTTCAATCATGGCATGTGTCCAGGAATTGAAAAGATCAGAAATAGACAAAGACAGACGCAAGTTTATGACAAATTAATAGACATTAAAATGATTTTAAATGAAGAGGAATTCTCGAGCAGTTTAAATGATTATCTGAAGGAGCTTGAAGAAGATGCACTTACACAGGCATTTGCAAAATATTTCAGGAAGGCTTATTGTAAGCGCACCAAGACCTGGGCATATTGTTTTAGAAAAGGTCTTGGTGTTAATACAAATATGTTTTTCGAAAGCTTTCACAATCAGTTGAAAAGTAGATTGATGAAAGGAAAATACTCTAAAATAATGGACAAAGCGATCAAGATATACACAACAGCCACGCAAACAATAATAGAACAGCACTGCAAGACAATATCACGAAGGCATCATATGTGGTATGGTAGAACCATAAAACATGCAATTCGTGTGAGCCATGCCAATACTGGATTAAAAAGTTAAAGTTCTTATGACGATGCAATAGTTCATAAAAAGTATATGTATCAACACCAAGTCTATATACCAGTGTTTTCCAACGATTTCGAAGCCATTTCTTTTTTGAGCTCGAATCGAAAATCCGGATAATCCAAATTATGAATAATAATGTTTTGTTTATCAAAAATAACAAATACATACTTATTTATTCATAAGCAAGACGTAAGCAATAATAATAGATATTATTTCAGGCTCTTGTCATACATAGATATCAACAAACGAAAATCCGGATAATCCAAATTATAAATAATAATGTTTTGTTTATCAAAAATAACAAATACATATTTATTTATTCATAAGCAAGCCGTAAGCAATAATAATAGATATTATTCCAGGCTCTTGTCATACATAGATATCAATAAAAATCAATCCTTTTTCATCAAGGCTTTTAATTATCAGCTCGTGGCCCATTGGAAAGCACTGGTATATGCATATATTGAATATAGTTTTATTTCCATGATCAGTTCCATATTGTAACCATGTAGAAAGGTAATTAACCCTAGAACGGCCGTGATATAATCAAGTAGATATGTGGGAATCAACTAAGTCAGGACTTTTTCTATTGTTTTGTAATCAATAAAATTTAAGATATTTTTATACAGACGAAAATTATCTTTTATAAATGTACCCATTTTCATACCGTTCTAGGGTTAAAATAAACCAGTTCCGTAAGAATATTAAAAAGAGTACAGGGTGGACCACTTAAAGTACTACTCTCAAATTGTGTTGATTAAGTTCATTCAAAAACTTTCTAAAACTATACATCATGGTTATTGCTCACTTACAATAAGCCTGTTTGAAACACTACTTTGAAATGATTTGGTATTTGCATTTCTTTAAATGGCCAGCCCTGTATATAACATATACATACCTGTATATGCGGTTTTGACACATACATACAATACATTTCTCTCATTAAAGAACTTCTATGATTATGACGCTTGCCATCTGCAAATATAATAATATATAATCATGAAATAAATGAACTAGCATATAAATAATAATTTGACTTGATTTCACTTACCATATTTCAAATGTACAGTTTAGAACCAATAATCTTCTTATTTCCATATAAAATATTGCGCATACTTGCTGATTGCCATATTTCAATTAAATGATTTATTTAAATTATATATAGATTAAACATGAACAATACAGTTCATGTTAATTTCAAAAATGTTTTTAGATCTTAAAAACTTTCTATGTTAAATGAATTATTGAACTATATAAAATAATTGATCAGGTGACTAAAATAAATGAATAAATAAATAAATAAATAAATAAATAAATAAATAAATAAATAAATAAATAAAATTTAAATAAATAAATAAATAAAATTTAAATAAATTACTTAATTAAATAACAATCGAGCAACTTTTTCATTTCAATTAAAACCTTCTTTGGCGTTCCATTTTTTTGTTCGTATTAATTTTTTCATTTTCTCTAAATGTTGATAAATCTTGGAAAAGATCAGTAAAATATGTTTCAACTTTCAACTTTTCAAGACCCACACCACTTTCTACAGCTTTCATAATTTCATATCCCATGTGCTTCGTTTTGTCAGAAAATCCATTATTATTTGCTGGGTTTTCAATTTCCTCTATTCTTGAAGTGCTCTGAATACTGAAGTGCTCTGATTTTTCTTTCATATCTTTTTCTAGAAGCCGACGTTTAAACCCAGTGTCATATGGGAATACTCTTGCACATGCATGTATATGTTTACAGATGTTTGATCTAATTAAATAGTCAATGCATGTGCAAGAATATGTATGGAAACATATTTTACATGGCTCGCACCTCAAGCATGTTGAATTGCACGTGTCACGGTTCAGCCGTACCACGTATGGTGCAACATCAGCAGTCGTTGAAAGCACATTCCATTCTTTACTTTCCTTGACCTCCGTAATATTGTCTGGCAGTACTGTCCTACTTCTTGTGTGGATGCTGTGGATATCTCTCTGCCTCGTGGAAAGTATATGACCACACAGCCTTCGATTCCTTTGTTGAAAAACATCTCTTTCATATAGTAGTACATATTTTATCGCTTTGTCCATTCTTTTACAGTATTTTCCTTTCATCAATCTACTTTTCAACTGATTGTGGAAGCTTTCCAAAAACATATTTGTATTAACACCAAGACCTTTTCTAAAACAATATGCCCAGGTCTTGGTGCGCTTACAATAAGCCTTCCTGAAATATTTTGCAAATGCCTGTGTAAGTGCATCTTCTTCAAGCTCCTTCAGATAATCATTTAAACTGCTCGAGAATTCCTCTTCATTTAAAATCATTTTAATGTCTATTAATTTGTCATAAACTTGCGTCTGTCTTTGTCTATTTCTGATCTTTGCAGCTGATGCTCTTTTCCAATTCCTGGACACATGCCATGAACACAATAATTTGTTTTCTGGCAAACCCATAACGTGTGACCAGGAATTGAAATATGCCGGAGCATCATCTGTCATAAAAGTTTTAGCCTTTATTTTTCCTACTGCCTCAGAAATTTTCTGAAAAAAAATTTGAAAAACCAATTCATCCTGCCTGTTTGAGAAACAAAAGGCAACAGGTATCCCACTCCCAAATTCATCAATCACCAAAAGCGTATGCAATTGGAAACCATAACCGTTAGTCCCATGCGTCCCGTCAACGCATATCTTGTCTGTACCAAATTCCAATAACGTTTGCGCCTGCATGTTTGTCATAATGACAAGAATAAAGTCATCATTGCCGAGTCCATAATTAGTTGTATTAATTCCTTTATAAAATAACACTTTGAAGGTTTTTTTTTGTTGGTTCTCCTTAACCCAAGTAGTTACACTTGTTGAATCATTCTTATTTCTAAATGTTTCGTATGGTGGTAAAACTTTCTGTTTCATATTCCAAATATCTTTTTTTGTAATCATGGAAGCTCTCAGTGGTAATTCTTTATTGTAACAAGCTTCATGTATGTTGTTGAGAATGAAATCATCATCAACGCCAGCCTTAATTTGTTCTGAAAAAATTATAAGAATAAAAAATAAACAAAAATTTCATCCATGAAGCTAAATAATCTTTAACTATACCTTTGATGTTATTTATCAAATTTTGGTTCAGTCGCACATATTTTGTCAAATTTTCATGTCCCACATGCGTCTTCCAGTAATCAGCTTTAACATGTCCGTCATTATATATCTTGCATATGATTCGTGAGGGGCAAGCATGTCCAATTTTTTTGGTACCCCTTGAAATTTTTTCTTTTGTTTGATGTGTATAAGACCGATGGCAATTAAAATACAGGATGGTGCATTCATCTTTTGTTTTGTGTGCTGCGGTGTCCTTCACGTATGAGGTAATATCGTTCTGCTCTGTTTCTGTTTTCCAGCTGTAAAAATCTACAGAAAAAGTTGTAATTACAGAAAAGTGTGTTGTGTTAAGAATCTCCATAATAAAAAGTTGACAAACCATGAATTGTAGAAAAAAGCTTTTGTTGTTGTTCAATATTAATTTGATGATCTGTCTTGATGTGATTATGCAAAGAACTGTACCGCGTATAGGCCTTCCCACAATCCTCAATGGGACAGGTAATCCGAAGAGCCCTTGGAGATCCTATAAATTGTCAATTATTGTAATTTTCGTGGTTGTAATATTAAACATACTTAAATATGTATTTATATTTCAATACCTGTAAACACCTTCCGAGAGTGCAGTGATAAAATATTATTTGGTCTGGGTCTAGTGGGGGTCATTGGTAGGAATGTGGGCGATGAATAAGAGTATGTAGAAGAAATAGGCGAGGAAGGAATGGGTGAGGAAGGAATAGGTACAGAAGAATTAGGTAAAGAAGGAATGGGTGACGAGGGAAGAGCATATGAATGAAATGATGTGGAAGGAATGGGTGATGAGGGAAGAGCATATGAATGAAATGATGTGGAAGGAATGGGTGATGAGGGAAGAGCATATGAATGAAATGATGTGGAAGGAATGGGTGACGATGGAAGAACATATGAATGAAATGATGTGGAAGGAATGGGTGACGAGGGAAGAGCATATGACTGACATGATGTGGAAGGAATGGGTGACGATGGAAGAACATATGAATAAAATGATGTGGAAGGAATGGGTGACGAGGAAAGAGCATATGACTGACATGATGTGGAAGGAATGGGTGACGATGGAAGAGCATATGAATGAAATGATGTGGAAGGAATGGGTGACGATGGAAGAGCATATGAATGAAATGATGTCGAAGGAATGGATGACGAGGGAAGAGCGTATGAATGAAATGATGTAGAAGGAATGGGTGATGAGGGAAGAGATAATTGGATTGATGTCGAAGGAATTGGTGACGAAGGAATTGGTGTCGAAGGAAGAGCGTTTGATAGAATGTCTGTGGAAGGAATTAGAGAATAAGGCAGAGCATAAGAATGAAGAGCAAGCGATGTTTTAGGATTAATTCTGAAATTATTGTAAAATGTGCGGTGGATAATGGAGTCTTGTGAAGAAATATTGGGAGTTGAGGAATGAAAGGTTTTGATGTGCCTTTGTAAAGAAAAAGGAGTATGTAGTATTTTTGGGCAAAATGTGCATTCAAAATTTCTGTGAAACTGTTTTGGCTGTTGCCCATGTATCAACCTGATGTGTCTGGAAAGCGAACTAGCGCAGGAAAAAGTTTTGGAATAATGCACACATTGCTTTTTATGTTTCATGTTGAATGAAAAAATAACCTAACCTAACCTAACGCTATCTATTATTAAAAAATAACTTATGCAAACCTAACCCAACGTAACCTATTATTAAAAGAAAACTGAAGTATAAAATAGAATAAACTAAAGAAAGTAACAAAAAACCTATGAAAATCTATCTATAATCTAAACGAATCTAATGTAACCTAAGGTAACCTATAAAAACATATCTCTTATATGAATAATAATAAAAATTTGCAATAATACCTACTTCTAAACCTATCTAAATAGTAAAAAATGTATGAAATAGAATAGTAATAAAAAGACCTTAACCTATACCTTAACCTTAACCTATATAGAATGTAAAAATAAAAACACTAACGAAACAAATAATTATTTTCTATAATAATTATGGGAAACACACGATTAAATTAAAACATATACTAAAAAACACGAATATTTCACAAAATAACATAAAAAGAAAATGACGAAAAGCACACCGGAAAAAGGAATGGATAAACTAGAGCATGAATCAGATGAATCACAAAATAAAACATAATAACGATAAAATCCCATTGAGCATGCAGCAAAAGTGTAACACTTCTGACATATAATGCGGCAAACTTCAGACTTCTTTTTAGGTTAACTGAGTATGCTGAGCTATGTCAAACATGTGTCAATCGGTGTGAAACCATCACTGTATAATGATACTCCTCACTCATCAGTTACCGCCAGACTCCGACTCGCACACAGATACACACTTCTGTTCCGTAAGGATCAGACACTCTGCATATGACACACCATAGAGCACATACACGTCAGGATAGACACTCTTGGCCGTTATATTCAAATGACAGACATACAATATTATAATATAAATATATATATATATATATATATTAGGGTGGTCCTTAACAAGAACATTTTCGAATTTCTTTGCTCCCACGGGCGCAAAAGCTTCCAAATCAATAAAAAATGATTCTCTAATAGTATTAGCTCTTTATATAAACATTTAGATAGAGCGCACAATGATTTTTGTATGTACTAAGTTTCATATATTTTTTTCTAAAATGTCACATTCAATTAATTCGTGCGCCATCTGTCGCGTCACTCAAATATTATGATACATAAGAATATTTATAAACCTAAAATAATGAATATCCATACATCATGGAATCAAGATTAATTTTGCAGCAAAATATTTATTTAATTGGTGATGTTAAGACTCAAATTATTAAATTATCTTGATTCCATGATGAATAGATATTATAGAACAGCCCATATGGATTTAAGGGTTTTTAAATATTCTTATATATCATAATATTTGAGTGACGCGACAGATGGCGCACGAATTAATTTAATGTCACACTTTAGAAAAAAATATATGAAACTTAGTACATATAAAAATCATTGTGCGCTCTATCTAAATGTTTATATAAAGAGCTAATACTATTAGAGAATCATTTTTTATTGATTTGGAAGCTTTTGCGCCCGTGGGAGCAAAGAAATTCGAAAATGTTCTTGTTAAGGACCACCCTAATATATATATATATATATATATATATATATATATATTTGTGTATATATATATTTGTGATATTCAGTTTTATAAATAAAATAAAATAAAAATAAAAATAAATTTTTTTATTTATTTATTTATTTATTTATTTTTATTAAATTTATTAAATTATTATTATTTTTAGTTTTATAAAATTATATAAAAAATTTAATAGATATTTGTATACCTGATCGTCTGATAGAGACATGCTTGGCAGGAACATCTGAAGTAACCGAAACATCTGGAGCATCTGACACAACTGGAACATCTGCATGTGCAGATCGATCCACTAAAATTTTAATTGAATCTTTTAATTTTACTGAAATTTCAAGTATAACCTGTATACAATAACTTTAAATTACCTTCAATGAAAGATGAAACATCACGTGATCCAGAATGCAATGAGGTTATTAACTTCCCGTAGGGTAAGTTATAGTAATCGTCCAAAAATCGAAATCAAAAATTTTTACATTTCTCGACGTTTTGAAGGTTTCTGAACATTTTGGCATACTTCAGAAAAAATGGATGTGTGTGTGTGTGTGTGTGTGTGTGTGTGTTTTGTATGTCCGCGTTTTTTCGTCCACGTTTTCGGGCGCACGGATCAACCGATTTCAATGGTTTAAAAAACATTCGATTCCTATCGATAGGGAGATGTGCTGATTAGTTTTTGGCAAAGGCAGGTCCAGCCGTTACGGAGATATGAAGCAAAGAGTGCAGAAAATAGAAAGCGAGTTTTTGAGAGAACGCATCAACCGATTTGAATGGTTTAAAAAACATTCGATTCCTATTGATAGGGAGATGTGCTGATTAGTTTTCGGCAAGGTAGGCCCAGCGGTTTCGGAGATACAGAGCGAAATGTTAAAAAAATGGCAGTTTTTGAGAGAACTAAGCGTCCGATTTAAATGATTCAAAGAACTTTTTGCTTGTTTCAACAAAATAATTGATTTTGGAAAAAAAAATTTTTTGTTTCGAATTTTTTTTTCAAAAAAATTTTTTTGTAATTTTGGGTCTAAAAATTCAAAAAATCACCCAAGCTAAGCACAGTCTAAGCGCCACTCTGGTACAAAAATGTTTACGCAAGTGCGTTTAGACTGTTTATGTACTGGAGCACTTTTCCAATTTTGTGAAAATCATTGAAAAATGTGAAAATGCCGCCAAGCTAAGCACAGTATAAGTGAAAAAGTCGCACAGAATTATTTGCAAATGCGTTTAGACTGTGACTATGCGGGAGCACTTTTTCAATTTTGTGTAAATTTGGCAACTATTTTTTTTTTTTGAAATTTGATTCGAAATGAAATGACGATTGTTAATGTTCTGGCGATGATAAATTGATTTAGTTATAATTAACTTTGCGTAGGGTAAGATATAGTAATCGCAAAAAAATCGAAAATGAAAATTTTTATATATCTTTACGTTTCAAAGGTTTCTGAATATGTTGGCATACCTTGGAGAAAATTGATGTATGTGTGTGTGTGTGCGTACAAGATGAACACTTATCAAATTTTCATGAAAATAGGTCTAGCGGTTTCGGAGATCTAGTAAAAAAAACTAAAAAAAATACCATTTGGCGGTCAACAATAATCATTAGACATTAGACATATGCACATCAAATTATCAGATATTTTATAGAGATTTTAACAATAAGTATAAATTTTGTTTACATTCCTATGAGTTCCGTACCAATGTTTATCCGTTAGACGGCGACGCGGCGCTTACGCGCTTCGATATTTAGTCTCTATGCATTTAAAGCAGTAGAATTGCTTTGAAAAAAAGTTCAAAATTTCCAAAATATTTAGAAATAAATTTTTCAACAAAAAGTCAGTTTTTGTCAAAAATTTATAGTTTCTCAAAAATCTATTTTTTCAGAGTAATTTTTTTTCAAAAATGTTAATCTTATTAAAAAAAAATAATTATTGGTACGGGAAGTTCCAGCAATTTGCCTTAAGGCACGATGCCATGCGCCCCACTAGTTTCATTTTGAATTACAATTTCTTTATTAAGTGATGTTCCTGCAACTGTTTGCACTGTAAAGTGCATTGTAAAAAATGGCTTTGGTTGACAATCTTCTGCAATAAAAATAACACATTTTAATTAACTTGTTTAATAATTACAGCACAAACTATATTACTCAGAGATAAATCACATGAAATTCAAATCCTATATAGATAAATCATCTTACCTTTCTTACAAAAATTGTCTTCTTGAAGGAAGCAATTCATTTTTAATAATGAATCTCCTTAAATCCTGGCACTTTCAAAGTAGGCAAACAACCTAATTTCAGGTTAGAGCCTTGCCAAGAGCCAAGCATTCTGCACGTCTCACTAAAATGTTCGGTGCACACACGTTTTTTCGATATATTTCACTCCAACTTAAAGTATTAAGTGCCGGAGCCTGAATACGCTTTAACCATTCGTCGAAAACTTTTCCTTCATGGGGGAATCTATGTAATAATGCATTTTTACGTACATTACCACAGCCTGGAACTATGCATTTAAATCCCATACTTTTTAATTAAATTCAATTTTCAACAATTTTATTTATTAAAAGTACAGAACTAGTAAAGCACAATCACGAGCCATGAATTATTCAACAATGGAGAACGGATGAAAATAAATGGTTTTCCCAGGTTTCAAGTTAAAACTAAACGAACTTAACCAACTTAAAAAACTTGATATTTTAGAATTACATGGGTACTACCAACCTGTTAGACAAAACATCGGCTCACTAGCGCCAAATTCTCCTCTAGATGTGGATACCACGAATCACGGTTTTTGAACGAGGATTTTGCACTGAGTGAAAAGGCCCTGGCCATAGCCATAACTGTCTAAGGGTGCATTCGACTTGGACGCTTACGCGCTGTGAGCGCTCACGCTTATAAGCACGAATTTTTAGCGTTCGACTTGGCCGATAAGCGCTCAGAATCGATAACTAAATTCCGTTCGTTTTGGAAACTGTGAGCGTCAATAAGCATCAAAATGGCGGCAACTGTCTGTCAAATAATAAATAATTTATTAGAAATTTTTATTTGTTTCTGAATCAAATAAATCAACA